CTGCAGACCAAGAGATGTCCTCGTCATCGGGCTGATGCGTAAGGTAGCTCGTGATCGAAGGCGTGTCGTTGTAGCCAAGTGCTCTCGTAACCGAACCGGGTTGTCGTAACCTCAAAGCGAGCCATTCTCTAGGTCGAGTGCGGGAACTGTGGGTGTGCGTTTGTGGGTAGTTGCAGGTAGGTGTTTGATGGTGGAGTATAAGAGCAACGATGTGTGTGTGTGTGTACTGCGAATTGCGAGTTAGCGCCGAAGGTAGCGTCGATTTTCTAGAAGTGTTCATCTCCTGTAAATGAAATAAAGAATAGTCTAAAAGTGAAAATCATGTTAGTGTATTTATTTGTACGAGTGTGAAATATTCTCCTCCTGATCATTTCCCTCGGGAACTGTCCGCCTCCCGACGGACAGTCCGCGGCGGGGCCTCCTCTAGGTAAGGAGTCTACATCGAGAGAGCAGAGCTGAGCCAAGCCAAGGCGTTCGAGAGAGTATTGGGTCGCAGAGTTTTGTTGTTTTAGATGTCGTACGTGATATGATGTGTTATGGTCAAATAAAATTATATGTGAAAATTAGATCACTTGTAACAGTTAATATATGAGAGCGGGGGGAAGCTAGCAAAAAAGTAGGATTACTCGAAAAATGCAAGAAAATAAAGGAATAACTACTTTATTTGGGGGGAGCGGGGGGGAGCAAAACCTCGCTCTAACTTTTGCGACTGTATAATACAGGAATATATATATATATATATTCCTGTATTATACAGTCGCAAAAGTTAGAGCGAGGTTTTGCTCCCCCCCGCTCCCCCCAAATAAAGTAGTTTTTCTTTCATTTTCTTGGATTTTTCGAGTAATCCTACTTTTTTGCTAGCTCCCCCCGCTCCCCCCACCTCTCCTTCGCTCCCCTCTTGCTCCCTTCCATACTCCCTGCCAGCTTCCTAATGTATAAAGTGAAAGAATTTGTAAAGCCTTACATAATAACTGTTACAAATGGTCTAATTTTCACATATAATTTTATTTGACCATAACAAGTAATTTTGTTACAATTAACTTCACGGAAAATAATTTTGAACACTGGGAGCTCGTACACAGTGGCTGTAAGAGTTTAAAGTAAGTTCAAATGTGACAGCACACCATGGCGTACCGCTATAGTCCAATGCATTGTGTATGTAAAGTTCAACGTAGTATTGAGCTGTATGAGCCCGGAGTTGTGTTTTCTCAAGCCTAGAGATTGTGCTGTGAGAGCACAATCTTCGGGCTCATGCAGCTCAATACTACGTTGAACTGTACATACACAATGCATTGAACTATATCAGCGCATACTGACGTGCTATCACAGTTCAACATACTTTGAACTCTCACAGCCACAGAGTACCAGCTTTCAGTGTTCAAAATTATTTTCTGTGTTACTTACGATGTTTATTTTGATTACATACTCTAAAATGTCTCTT